TACACACACACACACACACACACACACAGTGGAGATCAAAATTAGAGAACAATCTATAAATACTTGATTTTTTTTCTGAAATATTGTTAATCTTCACTCAGAATTTGAAGGAATATTAGCTGTGGCTATACCACTGTTATACTAACATGTTTGGCAAAATAACCAAGACATTTCAACAAAAACCTTTATTTTGTGGAAAACCACAGTGATCAAATTTAGAGAACAGTAACATTTTGGAGGGTTACAGCTGTCAGAAATTAGTAGGAAGTGTAGAGGCCCCTTCTTTGAATGACTTCAGCACATCTGCGGCTGCAGGACATAGTTTCTCACACTGCTGGTGTGATCTTGGCCCACTCTTCTTCCACTCTCTTCAATAGTTTGGTAATTGTAGTGGGTTTCTTAACCATAACGTTGTTGCCAAGTATTTTCCAGAAATTTCAGTTGGGTTTATATCAGGACTCTGGGCCGGCCATTTCATTATTCATTTTTAGTTTCAAAGAACTGCTTTACCCATTTTGCACTGTGATGGGGGCACTGTCTTACATGAAAATTGCAGTCTGATTGGGAGATGCTTGCAGGGAAGGTACCACATGTTGCTGAAGGAGATTCTGATAAACATTTGCATTAACCTGTCGTGTAGCTGTATAAGAGACCCAACTCCTGCTGCACAAAACATCCCCCAAAAAATGACACTTCCTCCTCCGCCTTTCACTGACTTCTTTATGCACTCGGGGTTCAGTCTTTCCCCAGTTTGATGCAGAACATAATGTTTCGCATCTGACCCAAATAAATTAAACTCGCTTTCATCACTAAAGTAAACTTTGGACCAGGCGGTCATGGCCTAATGGTTAGAGAGTCGGACTTGTAACCTAAAGGTTGTGGGTTCGAGTCTCGGTACTAGCAGGGATTGTAGGTGGGGGAAGTGAATGACCAGTGCTCTCTTCTATCCTCAATACCATGACTGAGGTGAGACCCTTGAGCAAGGCACCGAACCTCTGCTCCAGGTATGTGTGCACTTGGATGGGTTAAATGCAGGGCACAAATTCCGAGTATGGGACACCATACTTGGTTACACGTCGCATCAATTTTCTCCTCCCTCCACACAATATGCTCCTCAACAAAAGTGAGCCTAGCCTTTTGATTCTTTTTGCTGATGAGAGGCTTGGTCACTGCAGAGTGCGCTTTCAGTCCGACTTCTTTTAAACGTGCCGAGACAGATCCTTACCCCGTTCATCGCTGAACTGGCAAGCAATTCCAGCTGCAGTGTTGAACCGATTCCCCATTGAGAGTCTCTGCATTATCCTGTCTTTTCGTGCATTTGTCTTACATGGACGACCAGCATTTTTGGGGGAGCTTAATGAATGTGTAATTGTAAAGCTGCAATATTCTCAACAGAAAAAAAGAAACTCATAAATATGACAGAAGAAAAAATATATATATATATTTTCAGCTTCGTTAACAGCGAGTGCCTGGGTGTCCACGTCCATGTTGTCCTCCTCCCGAGTCAAGATATCCTTCAGATTTCCTTTGAGTATGTCTTGCGGCAGTATTACAACACTGTTACATGTGGGTGTTTTATTTTGTTGAGGGTTCAGTCTGAAGGGCAGTGTAGATGTGTGTGCTGGCCCAGACTATGCGCATAGGTGAAGATGCAAAGACTGTGCTCCAGATAAATGAGGGTTAGTTCACTCCCTCAGTTACTCATTACCCTCTCAGCTTGAACTGATCGGCAGGCCCACACACAATCTGCACCCCCAGAACTTGAAGATTCCTGCAGAATTACAACAGATGTCATTCATGAAGCCCCTCTATTACCTATTGCCACTGTTGGCTAATTTGGTAACATTTGGTAAAGCTTTTAGCTATTTTTAAGAAATAAATATTCCAATATCCCAGTATTTATCCCAAATCAAACATGTATGACTTTCTTCTGCGGGGCAAACAAAACTGCATATAAATATTGGAGAATCTTCTCACAGCTATTTTCCATATAACTATTTTCAAATATAATTTTAGCATATTTTAATCAATTGCTCAGGTTTTTCCCCAAAAATCAATGCAGATTTTTGCTGGATCATAACAAACATATGATCTTCACTTTATGTACATATTTGGACACACAAGCATTATTCTGTACATCCGTATCTGGCAGGTTTATTTTTCAGGAAATAACAAGTAAAATCCACAATTTCCACCCATTTGAGAGAAATGCCTTGCCCCGTTTTGTGATGCAGGTCGCTGATTGGTCAGTAGTCTCTAGAGGTTGTTGGGGTCAACGCATTTACTTTTCACTCACCTTGTTTGTCATCACAGGACAATTGAGAATGAAAAAGCAACACAACTGCAGATGGCGAGTGCTCATACGATGGGGTCGCAGAAAACTGCCGTCAGTCACTGGAGAGAATCAATGGACCCTCGTTGTGCTCGTTTTGATTGGCCGAGACAAACAGTGAGTAAGGAGATGAGATAAAGCTGCTTGAATTCACATAAACAGGAAGTGTTTCATTTAACAGGGTTTGTGCTTCTTTTTCCATTTGCGATAAGCAGTCTGATGCAGTATTTCAGACACCCATATTCACAGGTGAAGTATACAAGAACTGCTCAGTGATCATGGCATTCATCAAGATACTTTAACTCTTCTGCTCTTCATATCCTGCCATTTTCTTAGCAAATGTGCACTCCACTCCAAGACTGCTGGGAGAAACAGCCTGTGGGATGTACATTTAAACAATACAGCCACATTACAAAAATAAAGGCAGTCTCTGTAACCCACTGAAGCTCATGAAAGAGCTCGGTTTCCTTTCTCTTACCACTTGTTCATGTGCTTCTTCAAGCAAACATCACAAAACACACTTCTATCTGGGTGAATATACAGCACACATACCAACACAGTCCATTCGGAAGAGCTGGGTAAAAATAGATATTAAATTATGGATGATAAACAGGTAGAAATTTATTTATTTATTTTTTTTTTTGGTGTGAAATTTGTAGCGTAGGCAAGGCCACCCGTTGACTACCTTTCAGGCACTCGCTTTGAAGAGAGGGGGTTTTATTTTACATGGGCACCATCTTCAGTTCAAATTAAGAGAGAGAGACACAATTATTTAAATTTTGTGAACCCCCAGACAATGAATAACTATGTTGCTTTGAGGAATGGAGCAGGGTTTCATACATTTAGAGATTTTGGTAGTTCTTGCGTCCTCTCCGAATGAGTTATTGTGATGCGACAAGTCGAAAATCATGACCACACGCACGCTGTCCCAGTTCTGTGGTGCTTTGATTGGTTGCTTGATTTTAAAGTTGGAGAGCCAGCAGCAGGAAGGGGAGGAGCCACATTACCATGGCCAGGTGGGCTGCTGCAGG